GCAAACTCGGCTTCCACTAGGGGAAAAAATAACGTAGGGAAAGGGTCTCCTACCACTTGGTAAATTTATTCCAGGTAGTGAAATAAATGTTAATTTGGCATACATTTCAGTACTTCCAAATACCAAGTGGTATTTACTTACGCCACTTTTTCCATATAAATAATTGTGTGTTAGCATCGATTCTTTTATGAAAGAAGTTGCACGTGGAGTCGGCTTCTTGAGAGGAGATTGTATCGCCGATAGCCGGAACTTTAAATAGATATATGATCGGTATTTAGGTTCGGTGGCGGCTTGAGTGGCGTTATTTTGTTGATTCCTCGCAGTCTCGACGTCAGGGTGTTCTGTGACGGCAAAGGGCCCGACGCCCTGTTGCCGATCGCCAACGAAGCACATGCGATAAAATATTTTAAATCAAGGATCCCACCACGGAGTGGGAAGAATCTCTTGACTCTCTAGCAATAGGACCGTATTAGGGTCAGGGAACACGACACTTACTCCGGAAACTCGAAAGAGATCGCAGTCGAATTTTATATATTATTTTTAACATATGTTTTCTCCAAGATTAATGTTTATCAGGCATCCAATATTTTACTGTTAACACTGCAACTGGCAAATCTGTCAAAACGGTGGATTTCAGATTTCCTATTTTATAACTACTCTAATCATAAAGATACTTTCTCCGGAATTTATGCTGACCTTTAAATTACTATATGCATTATAGTATTATATGTATATTATGTACATTATTATACTGTAAAACCTAATTTAATACACATTCAGCACTGGTTAAAACAGCACCGTACGGAATCAGATTGTTTTTTTTTGAAGAGATTTTTTAGAGATCTTTTTAAACGTTTTAAGTGCTGGTACCAGTTATTAGAACGAATGCATATGACATAACCGAGTGGATCCAATGAAGATTCGCGGGACGAAAAGGATCTGGAAGGGTCAGATAAAGGGCTTAGTCGTTGCAGCCGCAACTCGACAGACGAGCCGTGCTTGATAGGGGATGAGTGGACGTCTCATAGCTAGTCGAGGATCATCCGTAATTTATGGGAGATCGTCGGCTTCCCATTGAGCTACCATCCGGTGACGTAATCGATTGCGTGCGATTACGTCACGGGATTCTATCGAATTAATACGAGCACGTAAGTGCCAACTATGTATAGGCACATTTATTACACACGCTTGTTCTTGAATCTTGTCAAGAAAAAATGTTACGGAACGTGTGTCTACTCTAGATCGACATAAACGACTGCCTGTAGGCAGGACCTGGTTTGCTACATAAAACGCAAATATCATTCAACTGATAACGTATATTGTCGTTCTTATCTTTATTTGTCTCCTTCAGTCATCACGAACATGTTAATTCATGCTAAATTATAGTTATATACATAGGCGTGAGAAGAACGTAGGCGTAAAAAGAAAAGGTAATTTATAATGAAGAACTGGTAGGTGATCAAGCACTTAAGGTAACAAATTTTCTTAGAATTTTTTGTCGACGTTTATTCTACATTAAATGTAGACGTATTAATTAATTGCATGATATTGAACGAAATCACGTCTGTACGAAGAAAATACTAGTTTATGTGACTTATTTAGCAAAATTTGTAATATCAATATATGGGGAAATGATGGAGTGTTTTTTATCATTCTGTCAAGCCTGCGAATGTTCTGCTATTTCCTAGGGAGATTGATCGCCTAATCTATAACATCCCAGATCTTTTACTTTCCATATCGGCGTTCAAGTTTCAAAGTCCTTTCCAGACCTCATCGTCCTGTGGCGGAGTACCCTAAAGTCATCAAAAAGCAACGCGGCCTGGTTCGTTCAAGTTTTCCCCACGAACTTTCACTTGGTCCCTTTCTCCGCCTCTTCCCATCTCCGCCATTGCCGCTAAGTAAATATTTTGTCAACAGTTTCGAAAGATGTTGCGTCTTATTGATCTTCCCATTGGCAGAGATAATTTGCACTATCCTAGAAAAGAAAGTAATTTTCAAACAACGAAGACGCTAGGGCATGAAATCTGCAAGAAGAATATCCAGTTTATAATCTTGTTAAAATAAAAATACCAAAATAGTCCGCTGTTTTTCTCAAATATCTACTTGAAAGTATTCATTTCTTATTATTTATTTAATTCTCTTTAATATTCCATGAGTATTGTGATATTAGAACGTAATCATTGAGAAACTTTATTCTCAGTTCTACGTCTTAATAAATTCATTTCTTCTGTGTGATTTAACACACGTCATTATTGGTACTGTACTTCATCCACGAGCCAATTGGTGGAAAATCGACACGATCGCTATCCAAATTCGCTATTACTGAAACTCTTGCCGCCTCAATGGGTACCTACTCATGAAATCATCATGGTAGAAAAAAAGGAAGGAGGACAGAAACGAAAAGGAAGAAAGAGAAATTGAACGAGGACCTAAAGAAAACGGAGAAGAGACGGGGGAGAAAGACAGGCGTAGGACGTTCACAACGTCGGTAGAGCCGGGAGCAATTTCCGGTGGCTTTTATACGCCCTTTAAAAATGCGAGCTACGGGGAGTGCCGAGCAGCCGGAGAAAAGGGGTAGCGATAAGAGGTCGATAGAGAGTTTTGCGAATGTACATATGAGTGATCCTTCTGGACCAACAAATCCCTGGTCGAAAGGAGTGAGGATGTCGAGAGGTTAACTGCAAGTCCTTTCTCGTTCTTCCTCTCCATTCACGGGCTTCATATTTCCCTTTTCCTACGTTGCGTTCTGATTTGAGTTTATCTCCTTACACGAATCGAGTCCAAGTAGCAACGTATTTTCGAATACCTCTGATAATGAGAAAAATTTCAATGGCCTTCGGTGACGTGAATGCCCTCGCTTCATCGTACCGTGTTGCTCATCAACCGGTTATACGAATACGCCAACTCTTTTAGCATTGACTTATAATTGTAATGTACATTTTATCGTGCAAGATAGCTCTGACCAGCGATGCTTTTTACGAAAGTATTTACTAGTGGTTCATTTTTTATTATATATTTAATAGTGTGTTTATATATTTAAAAACAGTACCTTCTTCATAGCTTGTCATTATTATACGGATCCATGAAGTACGTGTGAATCTTACTGAATGTTATTTCCATATAATTTGTAATGCATATTATTTTGATCGTCTTGGTTTCAGTTATTCGGTAATTCTTCTTATACGAAGTACATTTTAGTAACATTGAGTAAATACATATTGATAAATGTTATAATATGTACTTTAATTTCTTCAATTGATAGATCCCGATAATACGGAAATACAAAGTAATAAGAAACATTGAAAATGATTAAAGATAAGTGAAATTCAGGTTTGAAATTCTTAGCAGATAGAGACTAAATAAATAAAACTGCCCTGTAATGGAGTTTCAGAGTTCGAGTTTCATGCTAGTAGATACAGTTTCATATAATTTTGTAAGGAAGACCTAAACCACGAGGAACATTTCCCTATTACAGCTGTGCCTGGTGTTCCCCTTTTACGCATGGGAGATATAAACACACGCGCGCACCCGCGTGCGTCATATCTTTCTGTCGAGTTTCAAGCTCAAGGTCATTTCAAGGACTCGTTATGGTAAATCAATGAATTCATCTCAACGTTAGCTGCACGTGACAGCGATAGAACAAATTGTTATTTTTAAAAAGGCGATAATCTTGTTATTTATTAGAATAAATAACTCTAGAAAACATGAAATTCTTAATATCACAGATTCGCTTCTGACCTAAACTATATATTTTTAGCTATCTACAAAACGAAGACGTATACGTAGCTGTTCTACGCGTGGATAGATGCGTACTTACACATGTGTATACTAACACACACACATGTATATATACATTTAGCACCATTTTCCCAGGGATAAAATCCGGACCCTTAGTACCTTCCAGTCTCCTTCTCCTCGGCTGTGTCCTGGATTTCCTTTTTTTCTCGGGAACACCAATAGGGGTTCTGGCGGGCGCTCGTGCCCTCCTTTGATTGGCCAAATGCTATTGGATTTCATCGATATAAGACAAGATAGACAGAGACCACTGAAAGGACAACGATAGTGGGATCGAGAGACACGGTTATGAAGGAAGGCAGAGGGTGAATTACTAGGACTAAAAAGGGGGGGGGGGGGGGGGGGGGGGGGGGGTGGTATGAGAGAAAGATAGAAATATAGAAAGGGAGAGGAAAAAATAACACGGTAGTAAGAGAAAACGAGAAGGACGTGTATCGGCTGCTTCGAGGGTGCGTGGGCTTTCTCTCAGAGGGTGCGTAGACTCAAAGGGGGGAAGGGCGGCGGGCGTTGGAAGGAGAAAGGGCCGGGAGGGTCGCAGAGGGGTGATAGGGAGGGAATAGGAATGAGTAGGGGGATAGATGGAAGAAGGGGGATGGTAGTCGGTAGGGTGGGTAGTGGGGGATGAAAGGGAGAAAACTAGAGGGTGCGTGTAGGCCTGGGGAATCAGTCGCGGACGAGCTGCGTTCGGGGTTTTGTCTGTAGCTCTGTCCCGTCCGTCTTTTTCGCTCTCTCGCCGCGTGCTCTGTCCCTCTTTCTCTTCTCCGATCAACCGCTTCACGCATACGAACGCACACGTATACACGTGCGTATTCGGGTAC